TCCTGGTCAAGAGCACATACCTAGGTTGCAGGATCAAACCCTCGCCCAATCGGGGTGCATGTGAGAGGCAATCAATCAATGTGTCTCTCTCATACCAATGTTTCTCTCTCTCTCTCCCTCCTCCTTCCCCTCTCCTACCCTCCCCTCTCTCTAAAAATATCAACGGAAACCCTCAGGTGAGGATTAAAAAAAATTAAAAACACTGTTATTTTTATTCTTTTTATCCTGTGTGTTAATCTCTGAATTCCTCATCCACATAACTGAACTGCTTGCTATGCCTCATATGAAATATTAACACTGCTGTGGTGTCAGGTGGATACATTTAGGGAGGATCACTTTGTAAGTTATATAAATGTCTAACCACTTTGCTATATGCCTGAAACTAATATAATATTGAATGTCAACTATAATTTAAACTTTTTTTAATTTAAAAAATAAATAATTCTCAGCAAATGAGTAAACTATTAAATTTTCTATTCAGATGGCTTTTAATGAATGGAAAATTATGGTGATAATATCTCAAAATTTCTTTTTCATAATGCTACTGTTTAAAGTGTGTTCTTAATAAATACTTTGACAAATATTAAAAAAAGAAATCTTAACACTTCTAAGACAAACAGCATAGTGGGTTAAAATTCTTTCTTCTCAGTTATTATTTTTGTGTTCCTGGGTAAGCCATTGATCTCTCTGTGTTTCAGTTTCACTTATCTATAAAATGGGTATAATAATATTTGCTTCATAGGGTCACTGTAAGAAATTTGCCAAAGTAAATACTTTATAAATAGTAGTTATGTCATAATTTTTACATTGTCATAAGAAAAGTTCAGAGAAGTTACCATTCAGTCAAACATTTACTGAGCACTTATCATATGCTAGGAAATATGTAAGTACTAAGAATACAAAGAAAAAAAGAACAGTTAAGAGGACCCAAAATATATCTTATGTTGAATTCATACATAAAAGTTCATTTCAAGTACAAACTTCACATTCTGTTTCTTAATTTCTAAGTAGGGCAATTATTTTAAGTTCTTCCTATAAAAATTAAAGAATGATTTTTTTCCTTTGAAAGGAAAAAATAAGTCGTCAGGTTGAACCAAATTAGGGATGTCTGAGAAATCCTTGGAATCTGGAAACCATAGTAAAACTTTAATTTGAAAGTGACCTGCAATTGACATCACCTTTCAAAATTATTCTCAAAGTAGAATGAATTATACTGAGGCATTAAATACATTAAATGGACCAATATGTTATTACGATCATCTTTTTTTAGAAGAGCTGGGCTAACAGATGTAAGGAATTAAAATCAAGTTCAAGTTTGTACATGTATTTCATTTTCTCATTCCCCTTAAATGACAGATGGTTTAAATATTAACCTTATCAGTAAAATATCTGCATATTATTATGAAGCTAATTGCTTTACCTCATTCATTTTATTAGTTTTAGTACATGGCTGCCCATTTCATTCAAGGGCTTCTTAACTTCTGCTTCTCAAACCGTGGTCCTAGGATCAACAGCATCAGCATCACCTGGAAACTTGTTAGAATTACAGAATTTATTCCCCTACCAATCCTACTGAGTCAGAATTTGCATTTAAAAAGAATCTCCAAGTGACTTCTATACTGGTTGAAGTCTGAGTAGCATAGTTCTGAACTGTTGATTTCTCTTACAGTGTTACAAAAAGTTTATTTGTTTCCAAATTGTGGTTAATTTATCTCCAAATAGTAACTTTTAATAAGAATAATTCAATTCAGACAAATATATCAAATCAATATACATATATATTAGATATTCTATATAGAGTATTTCTGCCTCAGACTTGACCTTCCTCTCAACTAGGACTTTAAGTCTTAGAATTCTTGTTGTACTATTATTTGTTTTTTCTCTTAAGTCAACATCTTTGCCTTACCATATGGCCATTATGATGAAAGTCTTCTCCATAATTAAACAACTAAAATACTAGGAGATCAGATTCTCCACATAATTTCAGAGAAAATAGAAAAATTCAAAATAGGTTCAACCAAGGTTGAACTTGAAAGTTCTCTAGAGGAAAAAAAAAAAAGACCAGAATGACTCTATCCTCCAAAATAATACATTTTTATGCTTCACCTAACATTTTTTACTGAGGGTAGCTCATATTTTTAAAATAAGAAATTCACATGGGACTTAGTGCAGTTCTTTGGATGGCTCATCTTTTATTATTACTATTGCACAATAGTCACAGTGCACATAAAATAGAACAAATCTTGTTTTCTCTTTCATTTTTTAAAAAAATGACAGACCTAAGCTGAAACTGATCACAGCAGGTAAGATGGTTCAGCACAGATTCAAAGGAAAGTACAAATGTTCACTTTTCAAAAGCACTGCAAAAGCCAACCTCATCCCTTTTCATTGTAGCCGTGGCTTTATGCCAAACATTTGAAAACTGTTGAAAAGTGCTGTTCTGTATAAGCAATTATGAAGAGCTTTGCAAAAAGAAGGGGGAAAATGTAATAACAATAAACTCCTTCGAATGGTCAAATGCCCATGGCCTCTGGGTTGCAGGATAAGAATCTAAGAGTTACCGCTGGATCTGAGCCAATGGACCCAAACCAGATGCCTCAGAAGAATGGGTTTAGAGGGTGTTAAGAGAAGGTAACAAGGAATCTGTTGGATAGTCTCAAAAATTAAATATGTCTTCAAACAGCCCCAGGTTTGTTTGTTTGTATGTGTGTGTGTGTCTGTATTTCCCCCCCCAAGAAATGTATACACACTCTTTGAATAATTACCAAGGCAGTGTTTATTAAAATACATTTCATTTTCAAAATTGAGCTATCAGCTGTTAAAGTGTGTATACATTTTTTGGGGATACCCTGTACAAGATCTTATTATAGGTCAGTTATCCTTAAATTTAACCCTTTATTCACCTCAATTTGCATTTTCAGCCTATATGATTTCTCAGGATACAGCATTCCACAAGAGTACAACTAGGTATTTAATGCCTTTTTTATGGTCCTAGATGTATTGATTTTTAAGCTTTAAATAGTGCCCCTAGCTCTAATATTCTAGAATTTGGTGAACAATTCATTAAGCCACCTCTCTACTCACAATCACAGCAAAGTCTCTCAGAACTATGAACATTGGTTCCACTTCCTCACCTACCAGTCACTCTTCAGCCCACCCCATCTGGCTTCCATTCCATTCACTCTATTAAAATTTCTCTTGGTAAAGACCATAAGGACTTTCATGTTGCTAAATCCAATGGACACACTATAGTCATCATTTTCCCTTACTCTACAGCATCTTTCAACAAAGTTAACTGTACTCTCCCTTTTGAAATAACTTCCTTTAGCTTTGATGAATCTGCATTCTCCTGGGTGGCTCCCAACTCTGTCCCTTGTCAATCTTGAAGGACTCTGTGCCCTCTTCCTAACCTATAAATGCTACCTTGGGGCTTGGTCCTGGAATCTCAGATAATCTCATGACTATAAACATCCCCTTCATGCTGATGATACAGTTTCATGCTGACACTTTTATATCTCCAGACCAGATCTTTCTTCTGAGTCTAAACAGGTACACCCAACTACCTATTCAACATCTCCACCTGGATGCTTCATAAACATATTTAAACTCAACAGATCCAAAACTGAAGTCTTGGACTATTCTCTCCCTGTTCGTCCCCCAATGTTTCCCATCCCCTAACCATCTATCCAGTTGCTCCTGCTAGAAACCCAGAAGTCCTTTACTCTCACCACTCATATCCAATCAATCTCCCAAGTCCTGTCCTTTTGGCCTCCAAAAGATCACTTTTATATGCTCAGTTTCCCACCTCTACTGCATCCTCCCCTATTACCCTCACCCTCCAGTCTAAGTCATTATCACCTCCTGCATAACACATTGCAATAGTATTCTAAGTGATCTTACTGAATCTACTCATATCGACTCTAACTTCATCTCCATACTTCAGTCAGAGTGATCTTTCAAAGGTGAAAATACTCCTACTTAAAAACCCTTCAGTGGCTTCCTATTGGTTTTAGGATAATGTTCATAAGGCACCTGGCTACTTCTCTAGACAACTTCATCTCATGCTATCATTCCCCTTGTCCTCCATAAGCACCAACCCTACTCTTTATTTATGTACATTACACATGCTAAGGTTTCTCCAGGTGCAGGGCCTTTGCACATGTTGTGTCCTCTATCTGGAATATTTGTGCTGTTTTACTTTTCTTCTACCCACTGCTGCCCAAATCACACCAACATACACATGCATTTGCATAATCCAAAACCCCAGGGTCCACATGCAGTAGTCAAACTAGACCAAAAGGAACTGACTGCCTAGTAATCCATAGTGTTAAAACAACACCAGGGCAAAAAAAATAATAACAGCAAACCCTTACATAACTTTATACGAGGCACTCTTTTAGGTGATTTATATATTTAAATATACTTAATACAACAATCTGATAAAGTAGGTTCTATTATAATCTCTATTTTAAGATAAAGAAATTAAGGTACAGAGAGGATAAGTAACTTCACCAAGGTCACAGATAGTGGCAAAGCTAGGATTCAAATTGAGTCCTTCTGTGTGAAGGCTTGGCAGCCCATAACTTGATTATGGGCTATCCAACCCTCCCTTCCGCATAAGGGATGTGGAACTGGTTTACATAATTATACAGTTATTTCTATAAATACTAATTCTCCACTAGACTAAAAACATAAATGAGGGTAGAGACCATTTATATATTGTCCACTGATGCATCCCAACCTCCTGAATAATATCTAACACATAACTGATGCTCAAAAATATCTATTGAACATATGAATGTTATTTGAGATTGTATTGGGTTTCAATCATGTCTTACACTACTATCTACCTATCAATTTGCTTTGTTAGCTGTCTGCCTGCCATTCCCGCCAGTCCCTCCGTGTCCCCTCCTCCCGCCCGCGTGGCAGTCGGGACCATGGCGGCCGCCCCATCCCGGCGGGGTGAGCGCCTCGCGGCCTTTCCTGCCCTCAGGCCTCACCTTCCACGTAGGTGAAGGGGCCATCCCAGCTTCCAGCCCAGGCCCAGGTGGCTCTCCTGTGCCCAAGGGCATGAAACGGCCATACCGCTGCAGAGGCCACTGTGCCGCGTCTCCACCTGGAAGCCCAAGGCCCGCCTGCTTTTTTCCCGCCTCCGCCATGTCCGGCCTCCTGGCGCTCACAGCCCGCGGGCGTCTGCCAATCAGGCGACTCATCAATCAGGAAGCGAGGTGGCCTAAGGCCCGCCCTCCCCTCGAGTGCAAGCCAATGGGCAGGCCCCAAAGACTCGTGCAGGGGCCTTTTGGGTTGTGGGTGTCGCTTGCGCTGGGGCGCCGGTTCCCCTTGGAAGACAAGGTGGCGGTGGTGACTTCCAACCTGAGGTGGGGCAGTGCCATCTATAAGTGGTAGCTGGTTCTTTCTCTGCAGCATTCAGGCCCTCATTTTCCCTCAGGCAGCCCGTGGCCCTGTCCGGCGCTCTAAGACATTTCGGAAAACTGGCCGACGCCCTGTCACGTGCGCGCTGGACCGGGCGGCCTCCCGGGCGGCCTCCCAGGCGGCCGGAACGAGCTGTTCTCCTAGCGCGGTAAGCTTTCAGATGACAGCGACCTGCTCACCTCTAACCCACAGCAACCCAGCCCCAAGTAGGGTCGTTTCCCTATCATCTTGCAGCCCCCTAGGTACACTGCTTTCAGACCGCCAAGTCCTCTCCAAAAGAGAACTTTTGGATGGGTGCTGCCACCAACAAAAGGTGTGCCTCAAACACTAGGCCAACTAAGTGGCACATTTGTAGTCGACAAAGCACTTCTACATCTGTTATTTCTGCTGATGAGTTAAAGAAGCAAAACGGAGATTATTTCCCCTATTGAATAGGTGGAAGTAAAATAAGGTCCTGAGAGTAGAAGCAATTTGTCCAAGGTTACACAGAGTAGAACGTGGACTGCACAATCTCTCCGTGTGTCCGCCCCACTTGCAAAAAATTTAGGTGTTTATCCAGTCTGTCAAATCAGAAGTAATGTATAAAGAAGGTGGAGACTATATTAACCATACTCATAAAATAAAGTTATAATGCAAATGTTTTTTAAAACTATGCTTGTCAAGGGTTATTAAATGCATAGACAATGGTTGGAGAGGGGGTAATTTATTGACTCTACACAGCACTGATTAAATATGTACAGTGTGTAGCTATGCTAGCCACCATAGTGGTTACAGAAATGGGCAAGGCATGCATCTAACTCTTTAGAACGTCAGGAGCTAATAAGGAAGACAGAGATACTCATGATACCTGACAGTGCCATGTAAAGCTATAAACCATGTGGTCAAAGGATTCTGATGAAGTAAATAAACATCTGTGAATGGAAATGGCAGTGGCATTTCAGTCCTAACTTGAAGAGTGAGAAAAAGTTTCCCAAAGGAAGATGGAAAACACTGGTATTGCATATGGAGACCAAACTGAGGAACAAAAGTTGCAGAGATGAGGATAGTGACAAACAGCCAGAAGGCAACGTGTTTTAGGGATGAGGCCACAAAGATGAGTTGGGCAGAAGAGCACTGAACAGCAGTTACAAAGAGTGAAATTTACTTGGTAAGTGGTGAGGAGCATGGAGAATTTGCATGGGGCAGTGACACTATCATAATGGTTGTCCAGGCAGGTTAATCTTTCCAGGACATATAGATAGAGTAAATTGCTTCTGAAATTTTATTTATTCAAGGCAAGGGATATTTGTTACTTATCTTTCCATTAATCCAGTAGAGCTTGAAGGGGTCAGATTTCAGAAACTGCTGAAGGTCCTTAAATGACACAGCAGTACTGCATGTAATATAGTAGTAAATGGTCAGAAACTTGGTTTCAAGCCCAGTTCCACCACTTAGCAGCTGTGTGACCTTGGGGAAGCCACTTAACCTCTCTGTAAAACAGGTTAGTAAATACCTACCTTACAGGGTCATAGGGAGAATAAAATAGGATCATTTGTGGAAAAATACTTGGCAAAGCCGCACACATGTTGGCCCTTCCTTTTCACAGGGTTAAAATGGCTTTCCTTGACTCCCTACAGGCGGAAGGATTGGAGTGGGAATCTGACACTTGGTCTCAAAGGCACTCACCTTCCAGGTTCAGGGCTGCAGATTCTGTCAGATACCCTTCACAGGAGCAGATGGTGCTCACAGTTGGGACCCTATTAATGTCCAAGGACACCCAGATCCCTGCTGGATTCCCACCTGCAAGCTCCCATCCTAGACAAAGCACCTGTGCTTGAGCTTCTGTGGCAACCAGCATCTGCTAAGAACAGATCATGTCTGCAAAGGGAGATAGAAAGCCACAGTTTATAACAGAGGCTCTTTAAAAACCTATGATATTAGCAAATGTGACTTGAGCATTCAGGAGGTCCCAGATGCTGTGGATACAGTAGAGAACAAAATATATGTGGCTTCTGACCTCCTGAAGCTTATAATCTAGTGAGAAGGCAGAGCATGAAGCAAATTATTGCATATTTTTAATGGTCATGTTTTCTTTTTTAAAAACAAATTTGTACTATTTATTAGGGTATAATTTTATATAATAAATAGCACAGATCTTACATGTTCAATTAGGAGAGATTTGACATCTACATACACTCATGTAACCACCATCCAAAAGAAGATACAGAATATTTTCAAAAGCTCCAAATTCCCTTGGGAGTTCCTCCTTCCAGTCAACCTCCAACTGCCAAGGGCAACCACTGGTCTGATTTTTATCACTATAGCTTGGCTTTTCTGTTCCTGGACTTAATATATATGACCCCATACAAAAAGTACTCATTTTTTGTATCTGTTTCTTTTGCTTGGTGTAATTGTCTTTTAGCTTCATCCATGTTGTGTGCATCAGTAGGTCACCCCTTTTTACTGCTGAATAACCTTCTGATTTTAAGATAATATCTCCATTCTTCATCTGTTGATGGATGTGTGGGTTGTTTTCTGTTTGGTTTTTAAGCTGTTATAAACATTTTTGTACCAGTCTTTTTTGTAGACGTGCTATTGTCTTCAATATGTATCTAGGAGTGGAATTGCTAGGTTCTAAAGAGATATATGTTTAGCCCTATTAAAAAAACAAACTGCGATGCCCAGCCTGCGTGGCTCAGCCGTTGAGCATCGACCTGGGATCCAAGAGATCGAGGTTTGATTCCCAGTCAGGGCACACGCCCAGGTTGCANGAGCATCGACCTGGGATCCAAGAGATCGAGGTTTGATTCCCAGTCAGGGCACACGCCCAGGTTGCAGGCTTGATCCCCAGTTGGGGGCGTGCAGGAGGCAGCAGATCAATGACTCTCTTATCACTGGTGTTTCTCTCTCTCTCTCTCCCTCTCCCTTCCTCTCTCTGAAATCAATAAAATATATATATATATTTTAATGGCAGAGTTCTCCATAGTGGTTGTACCATTTTGCACTGCTACCAGAAAAACATGAGAGTTCCAGTAATTCTTGCTGATATTTGGATTGTCAAGTCCTTTTAGTTTTAACAACTCTACTGGATGTATAGTAGTATCTCATTGACTTGCATTTCCCTCATGATGAATAATGTTGAGCACCATTTCAAATGGCTTACTGGCCATTGTATATCTTACTCTGTGAGGTGTCTGTTCAAATCTTTTGTCATTACTGTTTGTAGGAGTTCTTTATATATTCTGGATACAGTCTTTGGTGAGATATATGTATTGAAAGTATTGTTTTCTATTTTATGATTTTCATTTTCATTTTCTTATTAATGTTTTTCAAAGAACAGAAGTATTTTATTCTGAATGAAGTCCAATTTATTAATTTTTCAGATACTTTTTATCAGTGCTTTCTATGTTCTGCTTAAGAAATCTTTGCCTACCTTAAGGTTATACACATATTCTCTTGTGATTTCTTCTAGGTACTTTATAGTTCTAATTCTTACATCTAGGCACAAGCTCTTCCTTTTTTTTTTTTTTATCCTCACCAAAAGATATGGTATTTTTTTTTTTTTTATTGATTTGAGAGAGAAAGAAACATCAATCAGTTGCCTCCCATACATGCCCCAACTGGAGATGGAACCTGCAACCTAGGTATGTGCCCTGACTGGGAATCGAACCTGCAACCTTTTGGTGTACCGATGACACTCCAACCAGCTGAGCCACCCAGCCAGGGTAAGCACATACTCTTTCTTGCATTAAATTGTTTGTGTAAAATGAAGTAGGTTAAGGTTTATTTCCCCCATATGGCTATAGAATTAATGTTACCCAGGAACATCCCTCAACCAATGACTGATGAAAATTGGCTTGTAAACACCCCAGTTTCCTACTGCTCAGGTGCAATAACTCTGAGATTTGTGTAATAAACTGTTTCTCAGAGTTCACCTGTGGCATCAGGCTCCAGTAACTTGCTTGGTAATAATTTTTTTTTTTCTCCCTTCCTTACCAGTGTCTCCTGGGATCGCTTTTCAAATGAATTCCTTGCATTTGAATCTTTGTCCTAGGGTTAGCTTCTGGGGAACCCAAACTAAGACAGTGACAAGCAGGCAGATGTTTAGCTATAATATAGCTACATACAAGAAGATGGTACAAAAGGCATTAAGAGGAAGGAAAAGTCACTCTCACTTCCAAAGCAGACCCTCGACTACCTTGCTGACCAGTCACAGCAGAATAATAGCGTTCGTGATCAGGACTGATGAATGATAGGTGAGTGTGAGCTAACACATTTCTCTCTTAGGAAACAGTTACCAGTTTAAAACAAACAAACAAAATCTTAGCCCCTGCTGTTAAAAAAAAAAAAAAAGAGGTCATTTACTTCACAGGCATCTTTTATCCCCAAATCCTTCTACGTGTAACTATTTTTCAGGTGGCTTAAATGACAGAGAGCTACTGGCTGCCTAAGTAGTCAGCATCACTGATGGAGGCAGCCTGCAGGACTGGTTTTGGAATCCTAGCACATCCCTTTCAAAGCAGATCAGGAACCCCATACACCCCCTCTCCCTAGGATATTGAGTAATCAAAAGAAACAATGGCTTTGGTCTCCTTGGGTCTCCTAGATGACAGAGAAATATGCACCCTTACTCTGCCTGCCATATCCTTCAGCAGCAGTTCTGGGGACCACACAGTGACTGAGAACTCCAGGACACTGTTGGTAGCTGTGGGGTTTCCCAGAAAAAGCCCTGTTTGCATTAGTCAAATCAGATGAGGTGTCTCCGTGACGTCAGACTTGGGGATGCTGTGTCAGAAAGGGATGTTTCCATGGAAGCTCTACGCTCACTGCCAGAAAGCAATTATTTTCAAGCTTCTGCTCTGTGTCTCCATTAGGGTAATTGAAGAGATTTCCATGTGGTTGAGCACAGGCAATCTCAACCTGCCCACAGGCTGCTGATTATTGATTGGCACATGAAGAAAGATTAACACTGACTCTTTGCATTTATTAAAAGCACACAGGATAATAAACTAGTAAAATACTTGTCAGCTGGTAAATTTAGGGACACATCTTACAAAGCTGGGTTAGAGTCAGAAATAGGAACTGCAAGCAAACCTTTAAGAGAAACTATGAACTCATGCCTTAAAGAGAGGGATTATATTTTATTTATGTTGGAATCCCAAGTTCCCG